TTTGCTCTGTGTTGTGTCTACTTGGCCTTCCAAACATCCAGTTCTTAACCTCAACACGGACTCTCCTCAACTCGCAGTTCCCTGCAGACTTTTTAAACGTGGAAACCATGTTATTGTAATTACAAGGAGACTTAAGAAAAAATTAATGTTTATTCTTGAGAAAGAGAGAGAGAGAGCGAGCAAAAGCAGGGGTGGGGCAGAGACACACAGAGAGAGAGGATCTGCAGCAGGCTCTGCACGGACAGCAATGAGCCCATGCGGGACTCGAACTCACGAACCGCGAAATCATGACCCGGGCCCAAGTCCGGCTCTCCATTGACTGAGCCACCCAGGCGCCCCGGTAACAAGAAACCTTTGAATCCTGCAATTCGATCTGCAATTCTTTCCTTGTGGAGGTTAAGTTGCCGTAACCACAGCCACAGCACGCCCTAGGGGTGACAGCAGTCCTCTCCGTTGGCCAGGGACCCCGCGACCCGAAAGCTGCCATCGCCCTGCGGGAGCCCTGGGAAGTCATCTCTGAGCACCCAGCTGTTGGCATCCTCACCCTCGGGGGGCCCCGAATAGGAAGGAGCCCAGCCTCTGCGTGAGTCTCCCACAGTCTCCCTGGCCTCTGAGATTATCCCCCGTGACTACACAGGAGTGCCGATGTCTCCCTCGTCCCAGGACTACTTGGGAGGCGGGTGGAAGCCACAAGCCCCCCATGGGCCCCCTGCCCCCAGCTCAGAACTTTAGGCCTGGCCTCGGGCCTCGGCGCCAGTGATCCCTTGAGTCTCATTAATCTCCAGGTTGAACACTACCCTGCTCTTTCCTCCTAAACCTGGCGGAGCCCTAAGCTCTGCAGAAAGCAGGCCTCTGGGCTCGGCCTGTTGGCGGGCTTCCAGCCGGGCTGTGCTTTGCACACAGGGGGTGGGGGCAGAGCGGGAAAGAGGGGCTGCAGGGGCACTGTCCCCGCAGCTCTGGGAGAGAGGCTTCCTCAGGACAAGGAAGGAGGCCCGGAGAATTTGAAACACAAGGCCGATGACAGGAATCTAGAAAAAGACAATGTGTCCCAAGGGGGGAAAAAAAAAATGATGGATGTGAGGGACTAGGAAGAAGCAAATTAGGTAGAGTTTGAGACGGGAGCGAGAGAGGAGGAAAAGTGTAGCACAAACTGGTGAGGAGGTCCACCCTGGGGGTCAGGGAGGAAGAGTGCTGTGGCCAGGGAGGTCCAGGGACCGAGGAGACGAGGTGATGAGATCACATTTGCTGTTCACAAAGTTTAGTCTGGGAGGGATGCCTTTGGGCAGACAATATGCGGGAGAACACAGGCTCTTGAATTAGGGTATATATATTATATAAATATTTATTTATATTTAATGCATAGACATCTATTTATATTTATTTGTATATTTATATTTATTATATACAAATGTTTGTTTTTATTTGTTTCTTTATTTATTTACATACATTTATATTTCTTTCAGGGGACGTTACACGTAACATCACTTTGAGACGGGGGACGTTACATATAACATCACGTTACATATAACATGAGAGACACGGTGTCCTCCTGATCTCATATGTAATTTACAGAATTCTTAGAGGACCGCTATGGTAAAGAAAAAAAGCACCAAACACGTGGTGGGCATGAACTGAAGGCTATATTTCTTGCGCTTGTCTCTTACTACGAGATCACAGATTCCTTGAAAACAAAAACATCCCTGGATCCCTGAAACTTAGCATAATGCAGCCTGAAAACTGTCTTTGCAGTGCAGGAGGGAGTCATTTGGAATACAGAATCGGTAGAAGGGGTGCCTAGTGTAGGCAACAGGTGGTATAGTAAGAAAGGGGGGAAAAAGCTCTAAGCTCTAAAGTAAGGTATCAAACCACGTCCCCTGTGTTCTTTCTGTTACTTTACTTTGTTTCTTTTAAAATACAGTATTAAAAAAATTTGCTTTAACATTTATTTATTTTTGAGAGAGAGAGAGAGAGAGAGAGAAGGAGGGGCAGACAGAGGGAGACACAGAATCTGAAGCAGCCCCCAGGCTCTGAGCGTCAACCCAGAGCCCGATTTGGGGCTCCAACTCACGAACTGTGAGATCATGACCCGAGCCGAAGTCGGACGCTTATCTGACTGAGCCACTCAGGTGTCCTTCCATAAAACACATTATAAAGCTACATTATAAAACATGCTCAGCCTGCCACTAATCGAATCATTTCCTAATTCCAGTGCTTCTCTTTCACAATATGAAAGAAGCCCTTTGGCATGTGAGTTATTTTGGTTTCTGAACATGGACTTTATAATTGTTACCATACTGGCTAAAAACACTGATGTGATACAGTTTGCCATGAAGATTATAAGACATTTCCCTGCCTGTCGGTTATCACCCACTAAGGCATTTGGACCTACCTTATGGCAGTGGAGCATTTCTACAAGGATTATAGGGGGTGAGGGGCATTTTAGGAAGAACTGAGATAGGAATGTGGAGGGCGGCTGGGCAAGAAAACCCAGCAGGCTGTGAGTCTAGAGGACTTTCTTTCTCAACCAGGTAGGAAAGAGATGAGATGACAGTAAACATGGAACACTGGGGAAAGACTTCAAGAGGTGGCGCCATAGAAAAACTAGCAGTGTTATAATTATGGTAGAGAAAAGAAGTGGAAAATAAAAATTGAGTGTGGGGCATTCAGGAGAGCTTTCTAGGTAAAAAGGGCATTGGTAAAGACCGGTATTTAGAGGATTGGGTTACTTCTCCAAGGTACTCAGTTTTCCCTGATTTCGGCTCTCATGAATGGTTTGACCCAAGGGGCCAAGCATGCTTAGGATAAATTAGCACTTAGCTATTGCAAAATCACCAACCCCAGAAAAAAAACACTAGAAGTTTTCTCAACTAATACTAGATAAGCATGGCATTTTCACATACAAAGATCCGTTGATAAGCTGAAAGATGATGAAGAAAACTACTTTCCCTGAAGAAAAAAAGCATGAGCTGCAAAGTCACATGGTCCTTATTCTTGCTCCTGACTCTACTGGGTAATGAATGAACAATTCCCAGGTGTCCTCATCTGTGCATTGAACTAACCACATAATATTTGATGATATAATTCAGTAGAGGTCCAAATATAACTTACGTCCCTAAGACATTAGCCAGTATATTAATTGATGCTATTTCTCAGATGTAAAAATGTACTTAACTATGCAAAGTTTTTACAAAAATGACTTAATAGTGGCTTCATAGAAATGGCTTAAACATACATAATATTTACAGTATATCAATTTGTTAGAACCTACAGTAGTATCTTAATACATTACAAATATATTGCCTGCATCAAAAATTAGTGTATGAATCCAGTGGCTATAAGGAATAATGTCGTTAAACAACATATAGTATTTTATAGTCTCAAAAATTAATGATGAGTCTACCTTTATCTTTCAAATGTGGCCTCTTTTTAAAATTGAAGAGTTGAGGGGCACTTGGGTGGCTCAGTAGGTTAGGCGTCTGACTTTGGCTCAGGTCAGGATCTCACTGTTTGTGAGTTCGAGCTCCGCATCAGGCTCTGTGCTGACAGCTCAGAGCCTGGAGCCTGCTTCATAGTCTGTGTCTCCCTGTCTCTCTGCCCCTCCCCTGCTCTCACTCTGTCTCTCTCTCTCTCAAAAATAACATTAAAACAATTTTAATAAAAAAATAAAATAAAATAAAATTGAAAATTTGAAAATATTAGGGTTTTAAAAAACAAGTAAATAAATAGAAAAAAAGAAGAAGAAGGAAAGACATCAAATTTATATAAAAAGCACAATTTATTAATATAAAGGACATAAAGCAGATATGTATGGTCATTTAAGTTAGAATGTGGATACAAACTTTCAAATTGAATTATCAGTTGCATCAACTTTGGGGGAGACTCAAAGCTAGAGTATTTCTATACCTCAGTAAGAATGAATAAAAAATAGAACAAGTAAAAAATGTATCTTTGATGGGATCGAAATGACAATTTAAACCTAGCCATCTACACACACCTTAGGAGCAGGTGCAGCTTGCAAAGGACAACCTGGTTTTGTTCCGTGGGGGAGCAACTAAAAACCAAGAGATATCATTTTCCTATCCTGTTATTTATATTGAGAAATGCCCAAAGTCTATAGTCAAACGGCTGTTAAAATATTCACATACATAATATGATTTCTCATCAAAATGCATCCTCCTCCAACCACAAAAACTTCAGGGGAAAAACAAAATTCCCTTTCCTGACGTCTTCAATGTTTCTCGGACTACAGTTTTATCTTTCTTCTCAGGATAGCCCTGGAAAAGCAGTCTGAATGCAAAGCTCCTCCACAACAGTATCTGCCTTTTAAAAGATATTCATTTAATATACAAGAAAAGAAAGGCCTCTGGGGAAAAAGGATAAAGGAGTTAGGATTTCTAGCTTGAAAAACAGGATATCAGAAAGCCATTTAGCTTCCTTTACACTGCTGATTAAAACCTCCATTTTAACCTTCCGTAGGAATCGTGCGCATTAATTGCTAAGCTGTTTTTACACAATTATTATTAACCTTCTTCAATCTTATCCCCGATTCCCTTGAAAAGCAATAGTTGAGTTTTATTTATTCGGTGTATTGAATCAGTATTTCATTTAAAATAGAACCATATAAGCCTGTCTGTCTTTATGTGAGATACAGACACGCTGATCTCCATACATAACGCTGTGGCGTAGAGAAATCACACTTGGGAAACAAGACAGTCTTTAACAGTGTCATTTTGAAGTAACTGGCGAAAGACAAAGACGCATGAATCATTTTAGAAAACATGTTACTACACTTCCTAGAACAATCAAAGCACGGTGTGTGATATCTCATTCTGCTGAAATAGCTCATAGAAGCCTACATAGCCAATGCACGGTTCCTGTAATTAGTGTTAGGCAGTTAAGAATGGCAAATCAATGTTCCTTTGGATTCCATTTTTAGAGAACAGCGGTCACTTTAGTCATTGGCATGGCTTTATCGGTCAAGTTAACAACTAGCCACCATACTACACATACTGACTTCTGGAGTACACGCTCGGCGACTTCTTTTCCACGTGATAGCTCTTTTGGGTTGTGCGGTGGGAAGGTACGGAGTACCTGTAGCTGCTGCTCTTCTCACCGGCACAAGAGACACAGCAGAACAGTGCCCCTCCAGCAATCAGCACCAGCGCCGTGGTCCAGCCTATGTAGAGAGCCTCTCCAAGCTCGTGTTTTTGGGCCGTCTCCACTATCGGGTTGTAGAACTCTCTGATGATGGAATTGGCAACCCAGCTCACAGGGATTAGCACTAGGAGACCTGTGACAATGAAGATGATTCCGGCCGTCAGCAAGATGTGACCCTTCACCTTCTCATCGTCCCCGGTGCACCTGGTGCACTTCATGCCCAGGATGGCAGTCACGAAAGCCAGGCAGGACAGCACGGAAGCAGCACACATGAGCCCTCTGGATGCCTGCAGGTCCGGAGACAGCGCCAGCAGGGAGTCATAGACTTTGCACTGCATTCTGATGTTGGCTTGCCTCACGCAGTTCATCCACAGTCCTTCCCAGAAGTTTTCAAACACCACGATGTTGCTTCCAATGAAGGCAGACACTCTCCACTGAGGCATGATGGTGACGGCCAGCGTGCCCACCATGCCAACGCCACCAAGCACCAGTCCAGCGATCTGCAGGGCGTAGGTGGCCATTATCCTCCGGGATGGGTTTTATCCCACTGGACTCCTGAGCCTGCAGGGTTGCTCTGCAGCAGGTTTCTCTGTGCCTCAGGAGAGAACAAGTTTCCTGTAGTAATGAACCCAGAGCCCAGTGCTTTTTCAAAGAGCTTTCTGGCTACTTCTAGCTAGATTTAATCCAGTGTGGGCTGGCTGAGTCCCCCCCCCACCACCACCACCACGCGTGCGCGAGCACACACACATTGACTAGGACAGGTAAACTTACAAATCAGGTGGGGCAACTTTCCTGGCCAATAAGTGGGGGGGGATGGTAACCAGGTGTGTCTAAACCGACAAGAGATACTTGGAATGACTGGCCCTGCACATAAACATTCTTTGTCCTTCTCAGTTTTCCAAGAAGACAGCAGTATGTTTACCCGTGGGCATAATTATGAATGTTTGCACAATCATCGAGAAATGCACCAACCTCTTGCAAACATCAAAGGTGTACTTTGTACAGGTAATTCTGAAAGTCTTTATAAGAGCTGCTGTGATCAAGGTACAAAATAAAATATCTACCTAAGAAGTTGGCTAGGACTGTCAAAATGCCAAAGGGAAAGGAGAGTAGGGGATTGATAGATTGCTCATACCTGGGAAACCACATTCTTTGGGACACATGTGATCCAAGCGGTTGATTTAATTTGTCTACAACTTCAAAGCAAACTCTACCACGGTGAAGTCAGGGAACGCATCGCACCACGGGACAAAATTAAATGAAAGTAATTAAATATACAAGGTTGTCCTCCTCCGTGGCACCGAACACATAGTGTTCTCTTTTGAGCCAGGAAAACTATTTATTGGTGTTTTCCTGGTAATCTTGATGTGTAAGAAAAGCATTTGCAAAGACAGTAAATTCATCCACGTGATTTTCTTATGTCACAAGCACTCACAATAGCAGTGGAAGAAGCGATTTATAGGTTTAGCTAATTTTGTGGCTCTATCTGTGCTGCTCTGTCTTCTTAAACTGAAGGAACTAGAATTCTTCAGATGGTACAAGAGTCCTGCATCTATATAAAACACTGATATTTCTATATAAAATATTTACAGGATAAGCTGACTGGGTCCACTGAACTGAATTATATTAGGTGTTAATTAAACTGGTCTCTAAACTGTTTTTTTTTTAATGTTTATTTATTTTTTGAGAGAGAGAGAGAGAGAGAGAGAGGGAGCACAAACAGGGGAAGAGCAGATAGAGAGGGAGACACAGAATCCGAAACAGGCTCCAGGCTCTGAGCTGTCAGCACAGAGCCTGATGTGGGGCTCGAACCCACGGCAAGGTCATGGCCTGAGCTGAAGTCAGATGCTCAACCCACTGAGCCACCCAGGGGCCCCTAAACTAGTCTATAATACCATGTCCACAGGGGGAGATAGAAGCCCCTAAATGTAAAGCAATTTGAACTGTCTCTTCTCAAAATAATGATGTTAACAATGGAGGTACTGAAATAAACATACACACTGATTTGGGAAACCTCCACTAGCAATTTATTCTGGAGATCATCTGGACTGTCCTGTCTTTTCAGATTTCAAGCTGCACTTTAATATTATCTTTACATCATAAAACCAGCCTTTTTTTTTTTTTTTTTTTTTTGTACAATTTTACTTCTTCCCTGTTTCCTTGCACTACCTGAAATCTGAGTATGGTGGAAAGTGTTTCTTGTTCACTTATTAAACTCTGAGACTTTAATGGTTCCAAAAAATCTGAGTAGTTTTTACACACAGGTTCTTGGAACAAAAATGGTACACGGTAGGGAGGGGAAGAGGAAGATGCCTGAGTGAACTGTCTTGGAAAACCAACTAAAACAAAAGAAGTGAATGGTAGCCCAGTTTTTTATTTTATTAGACTGGACAGGTTGAAAGTTAAAAAAAAAATTAACACTAGATATTTACAGTAATTTCCTCACTTGTTGACCTGTTAAGGACTAAACCATAGGGTGGTCCTTGTGCTGACAGAAATATCTAGCATTTCCTTCTTCAGGCTTGTATCCGGTACGGATTTGTGGTAGAGAGGGAAATAGGTTGATCTTGGAAAAATAATCGGCAACCCATAGTTAAAGAGTTGAAATTAAAACAGCAGGTTTTGTTTTGTTTTGTTTTGTTTTTTTATCTTTAATTGCCAATCTGGGAAAAGGGAATGACTGACGGACTTGGAAAATTGAAAAGGAATGGCATAGCTTGTTGAATTAATGACAAACCAAATATAAATATATATACATATATGAGAATCAAATCAAAATTTCATTTCCAAATCATGCATGACATATTTTTAAAAAGATCTTTGTTTACATATTGCTGAATATCCACATAAAATTGGGGAAATTTGAGGGGTGCCTGGGTTGCTCAGTCAGTTAAGCATCCAACTCTTGATTTCTTGATCAGGTCATGATCTCATGGTTTGTGAGTTCAAGCCCCACATCAGGGCTGACAGTGCATAGTCTTCTTGGGATTCCCTCTGTTTCTCTCTCTCTCTCTTCCCCTTCCCCTCTCGTGCTCTGTCTCTCTCTATCTCAAAGTAAATAAATAAACTGTAAAAAATGGGAAAATTTGAGACTGAAACAGGAAATTACACATATGAGAGCCTCTGTCTTCATAGGAGGTGCTTCCCAGGTTCCCACTGATGCACCTGTTGGCTTTGTGTACTAGCAAACCTCTCCTCTCTTGAGCACCGAGCTTTACCAGGACCTTATTTCACACAAAAATATTTTCCTTATTTCAAAAATATTAATACTTTACCACTAAAATTGCCCTGGCCAAAAGATTAAGATCGGAATGAGAAACCAGCCCTGGGCTCACATTAGAATAATTACGGAGTTAGCTGTCCTAGCAAGAACTAGCCCAGGGCATCCAGAGAGGTTTCTTATCACACAGTGATCCAGTTAACCCCATGATATTTTGAAATAACCGTGCCCTGAAGGTCGTTGGAACTGAGAAAGACAGGGGAAAAGAGTAATACCAAGTTTGTAGGGACAGAGGGACCTAAATTCAGAGATTAAACAGTCCAGTTAACTGTTTACCTGCTTTTCTATAATATTATGTCTCTCTGAAATGACTAACTTGCCTGCAAAACTCACAAAGCAATAATGGTTACAGAATAAACAGATTGATAACATTTTTTCTCTTCTTTAATTCCGAACTATATGCAACCTACACAGATTATTCTATAATCTGTACTTCCATTTCTATGGAAGAAGCAAAAGATTACCAAGAACCCATGAAAGAAACACACGCTCATGTTGACTCACTATGCTCCCTCTCCAGAGATCTCTCTCTGTCTCTCTCTCTTTGGTGTATATTATCAGAAGCATGCTTAAAGTTTAGCAATTAAATTTACTAAATTAAATTCAGCCCTGATAACTATATAACACATGCAAATGCTTTCCCTTTATAAATGATAACCCACAATGTCACTGTCAGACTGCCCTTGGTTTTGTCATCCGTATTCCTGCCGCAATCTTCAGCCAACAATCCTTGAGTCTGGGGCTTCTATTAAGTCTTATCACTACTTGAAATAATCTTTGCTTCTGCCAAATAAAGCAGTTGCCAATTTCTATTGTTTTGTGGATTTGCTTTTGTATTTATTTTTCTCTGTTGACAGTTTTCAACCGGTATTTATTTTTAATTATTTCTCACTGTCCATTAACTGTACTTGGCTGATCATCTTGTCCTGAGAAAACAAGTGAACGTATCAATAGATCTCTTTGTGTGTGGTTCCCCAAAACAATATTGTGCGTTGCTACATGTTCTTGAGCTATCATCCTATTTGTTCTTCATAATGACCAGCTGTTCATGTTCTCAAAGTCCTGTATTGGCAGTTCCCTCCATTTCTGCCACCTCTATGGCTTATATGCAATCGCTCTGCTTAAAAATGAACTCCTTCCTGTATAATAAATAATGACCAAGTGCCTTGGTCACTTCAGCCAGCTTTAACACAAATACACTCGACTGGGAGCTTAAATAACAGAAATTGATTTTTCACAGCTCTGGGTGCTGGGAAGTCTGAGATCAGAAGGCCAGATGGTAGAGTTCTGGGCAGAGCCTTTGTTTCTGGTTTGAAAATGGCCATTTTCTTGCTGTGCCTGGCAGAGAGAGAGAGAGATCTATTCTCTTTCTCTTCTTGTGAGGACACTGATCCCATCATGGGGCTCTACCCTCATGACCTCATCTAAGCCCAATCACTTCTCAAAGCCCCTGTCTCTGAATATCACCACATCAAGAGGTGGGATTCCAAATATGAGCTTTGGAGGGGAACAAAGCTGGAACCCATAACGTCTAGATACTAGCAAACCCAGTAAGTTCAATCCATATCTGAAGGCTCTATTCTTTTTTTTTTTTTTCAACGTTTTATTTATTTTTGGGACAGAGAGAGACAGAGCATGAACGGGGGAGGGGCAGAGAGAGAGGGAGACACAGAATCGGAAACAGGCTCCAGGCTCTGAGCCATCAGCCCAGAGCCTGACGCGGGGCTCGAACTCCCGGACCGCGAGATCGTGACCTGGCTAAAGTCGGACGCTTAACCGATTGCGCCACCCAGGCGCCCCAAGAGATTGTGCTTTTTCTAAGCTTACCCACTTTAGCTTGCTAAATCCTCACAGCTGGAACCCAGATTTGGACCTGGGTATGTCTCCTATCTCCCTCCCAAAAAACAAAATAACAACAACAACAACAACAACAACAAACAAAACAGAGAAAGCTAATTTCTTATGACACATACGGTCGAAGTTAATGAAAACCACGAAATTCGTTCAGCACATTGGTTTTTCCCTTACCATTACGTTGTCGAAAACCACTTACATGGCCAAGTTTTGTGATTTTTTTTCAAATATCTAATACACGGTTATTTGCATTCTATTTCTTTTGATACTGTATTCAGAGATATTTTTACTGGGGCAATCACACCACTGTTATTCCTTATTTAGAGTTTCTGAGTCTCCACAACGAAGTCACCATTGTTATTCTTTTCTTACCAGTCTACCATTCTC